TTGCTGGGGTCTTAACTTTGTGCCCCACGTGGCCGTCCAGCCTTGAAATGGCCTTCTCCCGTCAAGCCCAGCTTCCTCGTCACCCCTCTGTCTGCAGCAGCCTTCACTCCATCCCTGGAGCGCGCCCAGACTCCCCTCTTTCTGCTTCTCGGCCTGGGCCTTGGAGCGGTCCTCGGGTCAGGCCCCGTCACGTGCTGTGATGCGAGGGCTCCCCTGGGCAGAGGGGCCTCACATGCGTTTGCCTGACCTGTGTGATGGACATTTGCTTAGTGACCGGACTGTCATCTCTGGACAGAAGGCCCGGGTTTGTTTTCCTGCCCATCAGTCTTGGGGACCAGGACCACCCCCGGTTCCAGGACTCAGCACGTAGCTGTCCTCGTGGCCATGGTTCATTCCAGTGCAAGACATGCAGCAGAGCCAGCCCCTGGGAAAGGCCCGGAGGAAGCCAGGCGCGGGCTTCCCGGATTCCTGTCCCGGTGGAGTCGCGTGGGAGACCCTCAGCTCCCCCAGCGGCCAGCGTCGCTGTCTGTCAGGAGCGCACTGAGCCTCCGTGTCTGGGGTCTTTCCTGAGTGCTGTTCCCATGGCACCTTCGCCCGGCCCATAGCAGAACCCCAGGCTCCCAGCTGAAAGCAGGGGCTCAGCATAACCCGCAGTGCTCCGCTGAGGCCAGCGAGACATTCTTGCCAGTTAGAGGTGGGAACCCCCCAAAATCCTGCCGGCTGAGGGAGGGCCGCCCTTGCAGACGGGCCTGTCTCAGGACGGTGGTCTCGGGCCTGCCTTTCTGCGCCGTCTCTGCCCGGACTCGGGGTCTGGGCTGCACGTAGGAGGCACCAGTCTGTGCTCCCGGAGCAGACGGCAGATCTCACTGACCGGGGCGGTCCCGCCTCCATGGATCGATGTGTTAGTTGCACTAATTGGATTATCGGGGTGCCTGGAGTGAGGCCTTAGATTGCTGATCAGTTCCAGACACAGGCCCGGAGGGCAAGGAAGGCACGTGTGGTTTCAGCACAGGAAGCACACTTCCCCGAGTGAGACTGGCCGGGAAGGGCACCTCTGGCCCGGGGGTGGGGCCCTCGTCGGAGGTGTGAGGGGTTCTCAGCTCTCCTGGGCTGGGCGTCTCCGTGGCGGGAGCTGTGGGCCCTGCCGGCTGAGCCGGCATGAGTGCCCTCCTGGCTCTTCCCTGAAATGCTCCTTCAGAAGGTTTTACTCTGCTTTCCTCCTGAGGAGCACAGAGCGTGCTGCACCGTGGCTGGAGCGTGAGGCTGGAGCAGCGGCGGGGAGAGGCAGGTCCAGCGTGTGTGCTTTGATTTTTTTTTTCCTGCCAACACAGACTCTGCCTTCTGTGAAACACTTCCCGAAAGGCCTTTGTCTGCCTCAGACCGTCCCTGCTTCCCTCTGGCCCACAGATTTGGTAGATTCTGTTGTCTTTTTTTTAAGACACAAGCTCAAATCTCAGTTTGAAAGGATATGGATGTTCACTTTTCATTGAGTATTGTTAATATTATTATGATTCATATTTCTATAAATACGCAGCATTTCCCCTTAGTCCCTGCGTTGCCTGCCCACTGTGTATTAACTCGGGAGACGTTTTCTGCGCGTGTTTGGCCGGAATGCCGAGGTGGTGTCCCCGCCGTAAGTGGGCAGAACCCGCCGTCCGATGGGGGTGCTGGTGGAGCCTTCCTGGGCAGCTGGCATGCAGGAGGCCTGAGTACCCACGGCCTCTCCAGAGAGGCTGTCGCTGGGGCCACAGGACATTCTTTTCCCTTCACACCTTCCCACTCTGCCTCTGGCTCTGGGATGTCTGGGGTGTGCTGGTCAGAGGCTTCCTGGCCACCGAGCAGGGCATCCTCAGCCTGGACTCCTCAGCTGACCACGCTGGGCCCAGTCTGAAGGCTGGTCATCCCCGCCCCCTGCCTAAATCCAGATACTGACGCCATACCTGTCAGTCTTTTCAAGTCCTTTCAAAATACAGATTTTTTTTTGAGGCTTTCAGGTGTCATTCTTTTCTTATCACTTGGATTTTCAAGAAAACTCACCTTCTCTACCTGGGTTTTGAACAAATTGAGAAATAAAACAAAATAGTGGCAGATGGAGACCAAAAAATAACTTTTATTTCTTCTAAATGAGAAGCTTGAAATCCTGTCTTAGTGTGAGAGCCAGATAAACTGGCCGACTGCATCCTGGGATCATTCAGGCTGACCCGCCCTGTCGGAGCCAGCGCTGGGCACGGGCCGGCCACCTCACGGGCAGCAGAGCTGTGCCGGGAATCCATCCTCTCTTCCTGGGGGTGCAGTCTTCCCCGGGCAGGGAGAGCATCCTTCCTGGGGAGTCAGCCGATTCTGAGAGGTGGGAGGAGGGTGAACCTCCTGGCTGTTTATTCTCTCCAGCTTAGCAGCTGATGAGTTGCTTTCTCGGGGTGAGTATTTCTGGGGCTGGAGAAAGTGCAGCAGAGGCATCAGCCCAGTTCCCTCCACTTGGAAGCAGACTCCGGATTTGGGGGGTGTCACCTCCAACACCTTCGGCTGGCTGGCTGCGTATCCATTGTGTCCCTGCTCAGTCAGGCGCCTTGCCTCCCCTTGGAGGGCACCGTCCATCGGGACAGGCCGGCCCCCAGTGAAACGCCCTGCTCCTTGGAGTATTCTCCTGGGCCTGTGGGGGAGGGGTCAGAGATGGTCATGATGGTTGTGAAGTTTGTGAGAATCAAACAGTAATTAAATAACCTGCAGGCCTGTACCCCAGGCTGCAGGACCACTCCCTCGCTGATTTCTCATCTTTGACTGGGTCCAGCTCTGCTGCTCACCCTGGCTCGTCAGAAGCTCTGCTGTTAGGTGCACTGACAGGGAGCAAGCTTCCAGCTTCACAGCGTGCCCCAAATTCAAGTATGAATCTCCTGTTGCCCAGTTTCCCCAGAGACGTTAAGTCTTAAAGACTAACCCTTGCAAGTTCAGGTCCAAAACTGAAATTTGTTTTGCCCATTCAAGTTTGAGCTCACAATTTGTCCTTGAGCTGTTGTTCTGTCTTACCTAGAGGGGCATCCAGGGTCTCCCTGGGTCGTGCCCAGGGCTTTCAGGCCCAGAGAAGTCCTTTTTCTCAAGTGCCAATCCATGACAGTCCTCCTTTGTCAAGAGCTCAAAGTTCCACGAAACCACATGCTTCTCACCCCGTCTAGAGAACACGTGCGGCCAGGCCCTGGGGGAGCACCCGCTGAGTGAAGGTGGCTGCGCGGAGCTGTCCGTGGTCCTGCCCTCGCGGAGACGTGACAGGTTGGAATCCGGAGCCCTTCGCTGAAAACCCACTAGGCAGACGTCTTCCAGCGAGAAGTCAGATCTGCGTCTGTTCACTCTCCACTTCTGTGGGGAAGGATCCCCTTGCCTTGTGGGCATTTTCAGTTCTGCGTCACGGTGGCGGGCGCTCCTGCTCCAGTTGGGAGTGTGTGTGTGCGAGGACACGCGTGCACGTGTTCAGCCCAGAGAGTCCTGACTGTGCGGGGTCGAGTGCCTTCCACACCCGGCTGCTCGCGTGGAGGTCGTCCTCTCACTTGTGTGCCTGTCACCTGGAGGCCCGTCCCCGCAGATCCTGGGGCCGTGAATGCTGTCTCCCTGTCCCCGGGGCCTCCTGAGGCTGTTCCCTGTGCCTCCCCCAGGCCTCCCTGAGGACACATTGTCCTCTCTCAGCACCAGCCCAGCACAAGCCTGCGGGAACCGCCAGGACCCGCAGGTGCAGCACCTCACGGCTTCAAACAGCACAGGCTGATCGTCTCAGTCCCAGAAGCCTGCTGGGTCTTGCAGGGCTGGGTCAGGGAATGGGTGCGCTGAGGCCTCTCTGGGGCTCCGGGGAGAGTTTGCTCCCTTGCCTTTTTCTGGCCTGAGTTGCTTGCCTTGGGCCCCTTTGTCCTCCTTCCAAGTCCTTGATGGTGGGTTGCGGGTTCTTGAGCTCTGGCATTGACCGTCCTGCCTCCTGTCCACCTTCAGGGACCCTGGGATCACACTGGGCCCATGTGAGTGGTCCAGGGTAATTTCCTATTTCAGTCGGTTTATTAGCAACTTTAAGTCCCCTTGCCAGGTTCCAGGAATCAGGCCTGAGCACCTTTGGGGGGTCCTTATTCTGCTTCTTGGGCGCCCAGTGTAAGTCTGTTACTGCACGAGTCCAGTTGAAACCCTCATCCTGAAAACGGTCCCCAAGCGGTGGCTGAGACTCCCAAGGGCAGTTCTGTGTGGACGCCCTGGGGTGGGATGTGGTGGACGGCGCCACCGTTCTCTCTGGCTGGTTTGTGTTCCCTCGGGTGATGACAGTGGCAGGCACCTGACCTCCTGATCCCAAGTGAACCCTCATGCGCCTCCCCCGCAGTGTTTCCATGAGACCCAGCGGGGCCTTATAGGCAGCACTGTTGTTCTTATAGGAGCCCAGAGTGGGGGTGTTACTGGCCGAAGTCACACAGCTCCTGAGTAATAGAGCTGGGCTCTCACTCCAGGGCTGTCTGACTGAATACCCTCGTCCCCTCCACCATCTTCCCATCTTAGTCTATGAACCTCTCCGCCTGAGTTCACTGAGACCGAAGCTAGAAGTTGACTCTGCTCACGTGGTGACTGTGCCTGTGGCGGGGGCCCTTGGGTCACCAGCATGATGCTGGTGCTGCTGGCACCCGGCGGGGTCCCGCTTCGCATCAGCCGCCCGCAGTGCTGCGTGTTCCCAGCCAGCAGACCCTGCCTCTCCAGCTCTTTGTTCAATCTAAATGTAAATACCTTAATTTCCATCTAGAAATGCTCTTGCAGACATTCCCAGGGCTGGTGTGCCCCCTGACGTCGGGAAGTGTTGGGCTGCACCTTCTCAGTGTGAGACGGGGTCACACTGCACACGCAGCCTGACGCACTGCGTGTCGATCACTGTGTGAATCTGTTCTGTTCTCAGGCGGTTCGCGCTTATTCCTCTGCCCTTTCCCCCTCTGGGAAGAGTGTTTCATTTGCTAGGCTTATGATGTTCGTTGTCCTTCTTCCCTTAGGACAACTACACCTTTGCCCAACCTGGGATTCAGATGAAAGTGAAGATGTTGGAGGAGCTCGTGAGCCGGATTGATGGTAAGCCAGCTGCCCAGGCGCCCCTCTCCCTGGGGGCGGCGCGGCGCGGGGAGGCTCCGGGCCTCGCCTGACAGGATGCGCAGCCCGCAGCCCCTGGCTCAACCCCACCGCAGAGCCTTCTGAGGACCCACCAGGGCAGGAGCTGCTCCAGTTCCTTCTGTTAAGACGATGTAATCAGAATTCAGTGCGGCCACTTTGCAGGAAGTAATGAGTGCGTCCTCGAAGCAGGCAGCTCTCACTCCTTATTAAGCCTGGTGATTGTCATAATCTGGGCGACAGCCTGGTCGTTTATGGCCGTCCTCTGGCACACTGTTCCTGCCTTCGCACACCGTTTTGCTATCAAGGATGTTGGCGTAATTTCTCCACGGAATCCAATTAATTACCAGGTCTGAAAATAACATCTTTAATATTGTAGGAAAACTATAGTGTGTGCTCGGCCATTTTAGATTATGCTTTCATGTTTAAGTGGGGGCTTTGCAACACTTTCTACCTTCATCCTTCAGACAATTCCCCGTGTGATGTGCTGACTGTCATATTGCAGTAGCAGAGTTTAATTAAATGAAAGCGGAGAGAGAATGCTCGCCATTCCACGCGTAGTCTCCTGACAGTTTGTTAAATTAACGAGCAGAGCATGAACAGAGTGATAGCAGGCAGAGCCAGGCTTGGGTGTGCGACCCCGGCCGGTCAGCGATGGTGTGTGGAGGAGAGAGTCTGTCGCCAGCGCCCCGTGTGAGCTTGGCAGGCGGTCTCACCGAATGTGCTGAGGAAGTGCGCCTGGCTTAAACGTGGCCGTGGCGCCCGCGCCCCGGGCTGCCCTCTGAGCCCGTGCGCGGGCAGCGCCGTTTCCCTGGCCGCCCCTTCAGCAGCAGAAGCTGCAGCAGTAATGATCTTCCCAAGAAAGGCACTTGGTTTGGGAAACTGTTGGGTGACATTGTAGAGTGCAGTCACACAAATTATAAACTCCATTCTGTTCCTTGATGGAATCCGATTTTCAGCTGTATCTAATGGTTATTACCTAATTTCCATGTTATGGACTTCTACACAGAACTTGCTGTAGCACTGCGTCTGAGTCAGTCTGCTCAGCCGCCTTTCCAGTACCTGCTCAGAGTTCTGCTTTTTGCTTATGTAACTGCGTTTACGTACATTTGTTCTTAACGTCACGGGGGGACATGCTTGCTGTTGTTGGCCTCTTTCCCCCCCAGCACTCACACCTGCCCGCCCCCCCCGTCTCGTTTAGTTCTTTGAAATACGATTTGCAGTAGCTGTGAATTACGCTTTCTCAGTGGTCCTTCCTTTCCTCCTGTGTCCCGTAGAAGGCATATTTTATGTGTTTGTGGAGGTTAGAAAGTTGTGGTTAGTGCTCATTTGTTCCAGGGCTGCAGTTTGGGAAATGCCTGAATTGATTTTCTCTGGCGCTGAGGTTTAGAAGAAGCACATCACAGATTTGCTGGATGTTGTTTGAAAGAGCAGCACCAGCAGCCAAAGGAATCCCAGCCAGATCCGTCCTTTTTAGAAAATCCCATTTTTATTCTCCCGCAGTGTCTGAGGAGGGCATGTCCATCCAGTGGTGTTTTTTGTTGGTTGGTTGGTTTGTTTAGATGATCAGTTCTTCACAACAGAGGAAATTCTTTTTTGTAATAGGTTCGGCTGTGTCACCTGTCTGTGACGGTTGTAATGAAACCTTCAGGAGTTCTATGATGCGCTGGAACGAGAAATTCCCAAGTAGGAAGTGTGAGAGTTGAAGGTGTGGGCTCTGGCCCGTGGGCGCCGCCCTCAGCAGCCCTGGCACGCACGGTTTGCCCGTCTCCTTCTTTCTTCCTGCTTCACGGATAGGAAGGTGGACACGGCGATGCTCTTTGTGACCCTGAAGCAGCAGACTACATGCTAAGGATGGCTGCTTGGCCAGAGTCTTAAAGAGCCCTGGTCTGCCTGCCTCGGCACTACTTTTATGCAGGTAAAATGAGGGGGAAGTGCCCACAGGCCCTGTTCCCTCCCCCTCCCCCCGGAGGAAGCATCTGTGGGCTTGAGACTGTGCAGGGGCTGGAGGATTGTATTAAAGGCAGGACAACTGGGAAGAAAACACTGCTTCTTAAAAGAGACCACTGCTCCATTTCTGCATTTAAGGGGAAGGACAGCGTTGGTTTCAGAGCTTTTTGGCAGTTTGGTGAAGGAACACAGCTTCATGGACTTGTTGATAAGGAAAGCTGAGGTTCTGTGGGTGTGGCCCAGATGGGAATGGTTTAGAAATGAGCTAAATTGCTCCACAGAGAAAAGTTAGAGGAATTTTGGAATTCCAGTAGTCATGTTGGAAGGATATGTGCTTGGAAGTCAGGAAAGGATGGAGAGGTGGAGGAGGGCAGAGGCCTGGGGGAGGGGAGGGAGGACAGGGGGGCGAGGGTGGGTTGGAAGAGGGTCCACGTCACCGTCTTATTTTCTAATGTGACGAGTGGCTAAAGAATTTCTGAAAAGCACTTTTGAGCAGTTTTCTGTTTTGAGTACGGCCATACCCTACTCCCTGTTACCCTTAAATCTTTAGAAAAAGTCTGTTACGTGGACAGAAGGTGGTGTGAGTGAAGAAGAAGGCTTGTGTCTGTAATGGAGACCAAGTGGAAAGGTGATGGGCGTTGGCCCAAGAGACTGTATTTTGGGTGATAATCATCCCGAGAGAGGTAAGCGGGCTGATGAGAAACCCCAGGGGAATCACCTGTCATCTTTGGGGCAGATCTTTTAGAACTTCCCACAGAATGAGAGATGGAGCCTTGAGCCACTTACCTGGGAATCTAGAAGGTGAGAGCAGGAGGACCTTCTACTTGCCAGTGGAAAAAAAAGGATGATTGTTTTTTAAAGCCAGCAAATGAGCAAAAAAATTGATGGGGGTGGTGGGGGGAACGAAACAGAGGAAAAAAGGAAAGAAAGAGGGAAAAAAAGGAAACAGATTTCTTAAAAACGTTGAACTGCTAACAAGGAAACATAAAAATTCCTGGCCAGATTCTGGGAGAATGCTACAGCCCGGAGAGATGAGCCCAGCCCTGAAGGCACTACTGCTCTGAGGGTACTTGCTAATCCAGAAGAAATAATCCCCACATGATTTGTAGTTTTGACAGCTTCATGGAGGGAAGGGTCAAACCTCGGACTCCTGCCTGAGGGAAGGAGTCCAGGAAATGCCCAGGGGGAAGGAGTCCAGGAAATGCCCAGGGGCTTCCTGAGACCCAGAAGACTGACCCTCAGGGTGGAGCTGAAGTGAGAGGGCCCTCGTACAGACTTGCAGTCCAGGTGTACATCACCGGAGAGGCCCGGGGTTGTTTGGACCTTGATTGTGGTGCTTCTCTACTGGAGCAGAGTGTGTGGGAGAAGCAAACCAAGCTCTTCTCTGGAGGAAGTTACTGGAAAGTTGTTCCTCAGATTGTCCCTACATTTTTTTCCCCACATAAAATTATCTACACATAGTTAAAGATAAACATACGTTCATGGCTCCTTAAGTGAGAACAGACAGAAATAACAGATAACAGAAGCAGGCCTACAAGATGTTAAGCTTCTGTAATTCTTAGACGTAGACCACAAAACTAGCCTCTCTACTGTGTGTGGAGAAACACCAAAAAGAGAAGCTTAAAAATGTTTTCCAGGGTAATAGGAAATACATGATTTTACATAAGAGATTTGAAAAATATGATAACCAAAGTAAAAACTCAGTGGGCGAGGTTAACAAATTAGACACAGCTGTAGAGAAAATTAGTGAACTGGAAGATTGGTTGGAAGAAAATAATCAAAATGAAACATGGAGAGAAAAGAATATGAAAAATATAGGAAGTGAGAGAGTAGAGAGTATGGGTAGGGGCCTCATTTACATTTATCTGGAGCCCTAGAAGGAGAGGAGAGAGGAAGTGAGAATTGGAAGAGAGAACGATTGAGTTGTTTTCCAAAACTACTGAAATAAACCAATTCACTGACTGAAGAGCTCGTTGAACCTTCAGGAGAGTGAAGAGAAGACTATGTAAACACGTCACAGGAAAAGTTAACTGGAGGCTGATTCTTCAAGCAGCTAGAGTGAAAGGTTATTTTCTAAGAGCAGCTGCCTGAGCACTGACTTCTCAACAAGACACAAGGAGGCGTCTTCAGTGTGCTGAGGGAACCAGAGCTGTCCCCCTGGAGTTGCATCCGGCAGAAACACGCTCCAAGGATGAATCTGAAATTCCTCCGGGAGGCTGCCTAAGTCTGAGCTGTTCTTGCTGCCTCTAAGAAGCGATATAACTGAGAAGGGAAGCAAGTCAAGCATACACCCGCCCTGCAGGACACCCAGGGCCACAGTCGCTGCGACCGTCAGAGGTCCTGGAAGTCGGCACCCATCCAGCCTGGGGCGCCGGGGGTCGGTGCAAAACGTCTGTGGGAAAAGGAGTGGGTTTATGGGCATCTTAGGAGTAGAACCAGATAAAATCACCGCAGGAAGGCAAAATCCCACCCAGAATGGAGAAATACTAAGAGTGGGTCTGTGGTCCACGAGATCACAGCACTGGCTACTGGGAAATTGGAGAGGATTTGGGATTTCCGGATGAGCAGCTGCTATAGCCTTAGCAGAATCTGTTTCTAACGGTTACTTGCTTCTCCAAGGTGAATTCTTACGCCCCATTTTTTGGGGTAAGGGCTTGCCTAGGGGTTTCTCGTTCCTGCCAAACTGAGCTTTATTTTGGCCCTGGAGTGGAGCGAGCTGCTTCTTGTGCAAATGAGTTGCTGCTATGGGGCCGGCCACCCTCCAGGCCACCTCTGAGCCCTGCTGGGGATGTTTGCTGTTTCCTTGGGGCACTCTGGCTGCAGGTGGGTGACGGAAGGATGAGTCTGGGAAACCAGGGCTGTGTCCTCTGCTCCTTTGGGGCAGGTTAGATTTGAACCCCCTCGCACAGGGTACGAGCACACAGCTTGGCCCCAGGAGTGCGTTGGGGCTCAGTGCACACAGGGACTGAGCTCTGAGTGCTGATTGTAAGGGTCTCACCAGGCAGAAGCCAGAT